GCCTCCGCGCTTTATTTTCGTAGCAGTGATGTCTTCATCATATTGTCATCGCCAGCACCTCAGCTGTCTGGATGTCATGTACTCGTGATCCGTGTACGTGTGAGTACAGTTCGGTGTCTATCTATCCGTATATTTCATGTATTCGTGATCCGTGTAGATGTGAGTACAGTTCGGTACCTATCTATCCGTGTTGTTAAATGCACTTGTTTGAGATACTTTCTGGTCTTCTTGTGTCAACGCACCGAATATTGTGCTGAATCTAAATTTACAATATTGTTAGGCGTGAAATGAGTAGGTCTATGCAACCTAGATTGCAAAGTTTTACGGAAGGATTGACAAGAGGCATTAAAAACACCAATGTATTCATTGTTCGAACTACCGTCCTCTTCTAGTGGGTATGTGTACAGCGTTTCGGCCAGTTAATTGCTCGGCCGTCGTCAGGTATTATTGAATTCTTGAAAGGGCTAGATGGTGTTTGGCTTTTAGCCATGTGGTGCGAGTCATGACCCAAATTCCCTCAATGCCAAGCCGATATTTCAGGCATGCCGCATGTAACACGGTTAAAAGCTAAACACTACCCAGTCCTCCTCAGGACCAAACCAGGCATGACGACGGCCAGACATTTAACTGGCTGAAACTTTGCGCCCCGTAGTCACGTGCGGAGCCCGCGTGGTGGAGCAGTGGGCACTAGGGACGGCGCTGCAGGCGAATCAGTAGTTGATTGAATGGATTGCTGGAATCGGCACCCACGCTAAGCAGTGCCTGATGCGCTGGCCCTGATCCCACCGTCCGATCGTGAAATTCCGGATCAATGACAACAGTTTGCGACGAAGCTGTATGTGCCTCGACGTTCGGTACTGCCCGTCTCGTTCCCTGATCGTTTGTGCAGCCGCTGCCACCGACCATGAGCCAATTCAGTCAGGCTCAAACAGCAATAAAATTAAAAAGGACTGATAATTCTGACGACTGCAGATATCAGTGAACAAACAAGGTGATGTAAGATATGCTAGGTCTGCTTTCTTCACCCAGCGCTTGATACGTAGTGTTGATATCGGACATTATTGGGAGTGCGGGAATAATGATGAATATATCATAATTATTAGGAACGATCACCCCCTCCTCCCCCTCACGTGGTGCCTCCCCTGATGGATAGCATCCACATGTAATGGATGTAGGCGTGGTGAGAGATTTGTCCGCTACGTTATTTTTTGTTTGACAATCATCTCTTGCGCCCTCACTCGTTTGATGATTCATAAGTCGCTTTCTCCAGTGGACACAGAGGATCGATAGACCTGCTCTCTGTGCCCAGAGGATCTGATTAGTGCTCCAGCCCCTAGATCGATGAGGTGGACCACTCTATGCTGTATGCGATATTATCTGCACTGCACCACTGCTCTGCACTTCGAACAGCGATTGTATGATCCGTCAAGTGGCGCATCAAACTGCGTATGCGCTGATCCCGCCCTCTGCCCATTGTTTGCGCTATTCTCCATCTCGGGATGACATTATCTCACATCTCGGGATCTCTGTCTCTGTCTCCGTCTCCGTCTCCGTCTCCGTCTCTTTTCCTGTCTCTGTCTCTGTCTCTGTCTCTGTCTCTGTCTCTGTCTCTGTCTCTGTCTCTGTCTCTGTCTCCGTCTTTATCTCTGTCTCTGTCTCCGTCCCCGTCTCCGTCTCCGTCTCTGTCTCTGTCTCGGTCTCCGTCTCTGTCTCTGCCTCTGTCTCTGTCTCTGTCTCTGTCTCCGTCTCTGTCTCTGTCTCTGTCTCTGTCTCTGTCTCTGTCTCTTCTCTGTCTCTGTCTCTGTCTTTGTCTCCGTCTCCGTCTCTGTCTCTGTCTCTGTCTCCGTCTCCGTCTCCGTCTCTGTCTCTGTCTCCGTCTCTGTCTCCGTCTCTGTCTCTGCCTCTGTCTCTGTCTCTGTCTCTGTCTCCGTCTCCGTCTCCGTCTCCGTCTCCGTCTCCGTCTCCGTCTCCGTCTCCGTCTCCGTCTCCGTCTCCGTCTCCGTCTCCATCTGTGTCTCCGTCTCCGTCTCCGTCTCCGTCTCCGTCTCCGTCTCCGTCTCCGTCTCCGTCTCCGTCTCCGTCTCCGTCTCCGTCTCCGTCTCCGTCTCTGTCTCTGCCTCTGCCCCTGCCTCTGTCTCTGTCTCTGTCTCTGTCTCTGTCTCTGTCTCTGTCTCTGTCTCTGTCTCTGTCTCTGTCTCCGTCTCTGTCTCCGTCCCTGTCTCCGTCTCCGTCTCCGTCTCCGTCTCCGTCTCTGCCTCTGCCTCTGCCTCTGTCTCTGTCTCTGTCTCTGTCTCTGTCTTTCGTTCCCCATGACTGCCGAATGGCGGTGCACCTGTGTCCCAGTACGGTGTCGCGGGCCGGGCGTTACCGGCCTTTTCGGGGGCCGGGCGTCCCCACCACATGTGCACGGCGTGAAAGGCGCTAGGTTGCTGACAGGGTGATGCTGTGAGTCGGCTGAGGCTTCAGGACTGAATGGAAACTGCTGAAGGGTCGCTGTTGCTCTTGTCTAAATGCCATGGACCAATGAAGAACTAAGTTCTCCACATCTTCTCTCGGTGGTCAAGGATTGTTGTTTTTGAATGTGGCAGTGATGGCAGATTTAATCGTTTTAAGTTATTTGAGGGCGTGGTTTGCGTTTGTAGCATCGTCTTTTCCAGCTTCATGAGTTAATATTTGCTTACCTGTTGTGCCTTACATACATCACGGCGCTGTTATTGGAGCTCATTTCTTTCGTGTATCGCCCAACGATGGCCAGGTCACCCGTCATGTCTCGCAATCGCAGGCATTCTCACCGTGCATCAAGCCTTATCACACAGTTACGAGATTAATATCTACGGAAGTCGACTGATTTAATCGGTGTGCCAATGGATACAAAGTTGATCCTAAAATAAAGCAAGAAAAAAATCGCGGAATATGTCGATCGAACCAAGTATAGTCATCCCACCGAGTCCCTCGACTCGACTCGGATCCTGATGGCCTTCTGTTGGAAACCAATCGACAATGCAGCGCGTCGCGCGCATTGTGGTTGCGTCAGCTGGAATGTGTCATGTAAGGGTGTGACGGCCGAAGTAGTAACACCTTTCGGCTCTCACGTGAGGGTCGAGCCCCGATTGCACCATGGCCCCTGAGCACCAATATGCAATCTGTGCGGTCTCTAGCGCTCCACGAACGGGCGCGCGACGACGTGCTTTTTTATGACATGCAACTTGAATGTCATACGTCGGAGTCGCAATGGGAGCGTGTCAGACGGGGCATCACGGCTCGCTTGGTGCAGGCCGACGCTGTGACGAGCACGAGAACATTGTCCCGACAGGGGTGAATAATTTGTGTCATAGAACCGATTTTCGAGGCCGAGAATAAGCCACATGGCCACTGTATGGTACGGTGGCGGTATACGTTACAGAAGACGGGACTGCAGTGCGCTGCTTCAATGCTGATTTTCCCTGCGACGTGTCGCTGTCACAAAAGATCGGTGCGCTGAGATTCAAGCAGAGGTCAGCGATGGCCTACAGCGCTTCTCGGCAGTCGCCGCTCGCTTTCCCGAGAGAGGATTTATTTCATTGATGCACATCAATCTTGGACCCTGCTGATCGGTTACGAACGGGCCTGCAACTGCAGGTGCTTTCTTTCCCTGGGCACATCTGCATGCAGTGGTGCTCAGACACTTGCAGCTGACGTAGCTGGCTTTGCTGCAGGTGATCAAACTATTAACCTCACAACTGTGTGGATGTGTTCTGCCATGGGGAGCTCCGCCGCCTTCCTGTCTTCAGCCGTCTTGCCTGCTAGTAATGTGCGAACCACGCAACTTAATGCTGGTTTGCAACCGGAATGGAGCCGTTGGACCAGACCTTAGAAAGCGCGGCCGTCATGGTTTTGATCGCCGCTTGAATGGTAGGCCTCGGTTGGGGTTTCCGATCTGGTTATCATAATGAGCTTGTTGTAAATCACTTGTCAAGTAATTTGCTGTCATCACGCTTCATTGAAGTCCACGTGCTGCTTAAAAACGGAGACCTCTGAACATGTGTTTCTTGATATCTACGATGGAATGTTGTTTCACGCAAACCACAGCACGAGCTGCAGCACCCCTGGTCTACGATTGTTTCGGTCGGTCCACGAATGTACCAGCGTAGCCGTCGCTCGTATAATGAAGGGGCACTGGCTTCCTCTTTTCAACTCTCCTCTCTCCAGCCCACGTGCCCGCCCACAAGCCTAGAAACGCCGTCTAAAAAGGGACCTTTGGCCCCTTGGGCCGAACGCAGTGCAGATCGCGCCGTCTTGATGTATGCAAACTCTCGAACCTGCGCAAAAACTGAGCGGACACCCCAGCGCCACCTCTTGGGGCTTCGCGACCCTGCTGCCCGTGCACCGGCGGCTGAATGCGGATAGCCTCGTTGTGGTGGCTGTTAAGTGCCGTCCGCCGTGAAGGCAGAGTGCACATGTGCCCAGGTTGTCCTGCACGCTGTGTTCTGTGGGCAGAACTCCCGTACGGGGAACAGGCACTGACGTCGGCAATTTTCATGGTGAAGCTGATTCGTGATTCGTGATTCGAACGCTGTTTAACATTCATAGGGCGAATAAAGCTCATATGCTCGACATGACGTAAGTGTAAAGTGCGACATACGGGCTGCAGGCTTGTGAAAACAAAATGCATGTTGCGGCGTATGTCAGCTGTTGTCAATGATGACAGCCAGTTCGGGTCGAAAACGTGAACGGTGCTTTGATCACCCTTTCAATGCAAACATAGCTTAAATATACTTTGTGCATGGGACATTGTTCTGTGCGCCATGTTTGGTGGGAAAAAATCGGCATTGTATTCGACATAGCAATCAACTTGAAAAACATGCCGCAAAATGCAAAATTCACAACAAAGCGATATTTTCTGTCACACACGCAAACAAGCGCTGGAAATCGAACAGAATCCCTTCAACCCACGACTCCAGACGTTGCCACACTCAGCGTCAACATGGTGAAAGTCCCCACCCCTGTCCTGTTTCTTGCAGCGGTGATGATGGCGATTCGCGCCATCAACTCAAACACGAGCATCCTGCAGGACTACAAGCTCACCCTCATGTCCAGCGACGGCCAGTGCAGCTCGGACATGGTCATGAAGAGCTTCATCAACTACCTGCGCATGCCCAGCTTTGCGCAGATGGTCGGCATACTGGGTACGTCACGGTAGAGGCCCTGCACCCAGCTGTGGTGGACCGGCGGCCGACCAATGGGCAAACGATTAAATAGTTCGTTAATGATTTGGTAGTTTGGTAGTGTGATTTCAATGGTAGTTTGATCGTCTTTGTTGACGAATGATGGATCATCGCTTAGTCCATTGCGAAGCAAATGCACTCGACAACGTTGTCATGCAAAGCTTCATCAAGTTGGGTGGAGCTCGGCACAAAAAATCCCTCGTTTGGCATTTACGTGAAGTGGGTGCAGTAGCAGTTTTTGCCACTTACAGCGAAATCGTTCATCTTCCGTTGATCTCCCTTAATGGCGTTCTGGGTGCATGGGCTGCCATCATTCGACATGCATTGATCCGAAGAGAGATGACCCCATGACCCAACTTGGCCAGCCTGTCGTCCGGCAAGCTGACCTGGAATGATAACGGCTAGAATTGCCCCTTCTTCTACACGCCATCACGTGGTGGCTTTAGAACGAGAAGTGTCCCAAAATCCTGATTGGCTTTTCGCACACCGGCTGATCTTGCCCTGACCCTGGGTCACCAAGTGTGACCCCAGCTGACCCGACCTGACCTGGCCACAGGGCCAGCGTGCTCCAACACGCTGGAGCCGATAGCCGGTGTGTCACGCCACTTCAGGGTGCTGGTCATTTCGTACAGCGCCGAAGGTGTACTGCTGACCAACCGCAGCCAGTACCCCTACTTCTTCCGCACCATCGGCGAAAACAAGCAGTTCAGGTTAGTGGATATGGAATTGCTCGACGTTGGACTCCGTTGCAAGCTTCACTCTAGTGAGCTGCACTGTTCCACTGACCTTCAGACTGCACTGTCAGCGCACTCCAAACTCTAACGTCGGACGAATGTTGTAACTTCACTGCTAGCTTTTCGCCAAACCTCACCATGCAACTGAAACAGAGTTGCGCTGAGTTAAAATCGTGAAGGCTACGGCGTATTGTGGCCCATAAACGGTGTAGTAACCCTATCTCGTCTCCGATCTCTCGGCTACCGTGGCAGCCGGGAGATCACGTGGTGTCATTTGGCTTGCGTGCGAAAAGTCCTAATGCAGCTCCTTACCGAAACTTCATTTGTGGTGGACACAGGGCACAACACGCTGAATAAAAGGGGTGGTGTTTGGAAAGAACGAACCGACGAATATGCTGGTGTGATTTACAATGCCAAAATGCTCACAGTTTTGACGGTAGCACATTGTATTTAACAATGTTTTTGGAATTCCTAACATTCGCAAATTGTCTGGCAATGTGCGTCGCTATCGTGCGTTGCGCAAGCTCGTGATGCGCAGTAAAAGAAGCCTTTAAAATTCGAAATAGTAGAAATTGTTGGTGCATTGTGAAAGTTGTGAAACTGAATTCACGCCTGTGCCTGCACTGAGTGCCAAGGCACGAGCCAACACATAAAAACCATAAAAACCGTCAATTTCATATTTCTAATTCGTGCGCACGTTTCACGTCACACGTGCCATCCCAAAATGGTCAACAACCGATTTCGCGTTCAAATACTTATCGAAGCGTGCCAATATCGTGTCGCTCCGACCCGTCATTGTCGAGATATAGCTCCAGGAGAGCACGCATGTCCGGCTGTCCTCCCATCTGTCGCAAATACGCGCCGCCCACGTTAAACCTATGGGAATTTTGCGAATTTATTTCGTTCGCCACGCGCTGACGGTGCAAATGCACAGTCGTCACGTGATGCTACCGAGCATCGTCAGCTGACTCGGGTCGCGGGCGAATTTCGCGCGGAAACTCGCAGCCATTTGGCCTTGGCAATAGACACACGCCGATGGCGGGCAAACGCAGCCACTCATACGCACGACTTTCTTTAGTATAATAGTGATGATGATGATAACATCATGATCATGATAAGGTTCAGAGCGTCAAAAAGGTCGGAAATAGTTTTTTTTGTAAATTTACTCTCATTTTGAGTTTTGTCTACCGATGCAAACCAGCAAAAATAATTTCTACGGCAGCAAAAACGCGGCTGCGAACAGGAACAGTTCTTGCCGCCCGCCTCTGCGTCCATGTTACAGATATGTGGGCCGTCAGATACCCTTTCGTTCGCCCTGTTTCTGGAACCTGAGGTACGATGCTATTGCACTGCTAATCTCGTTTCAAGCTCGGGGCGCCTTTTAGCACGGATTGCACCTGGTGCCACCCTCTCGAGCCCGGAGGTAGTTACCGGCGCTAAGCTGCAGTTTTCTCCAAGGTCACGCTGTTCCTGGCTCATTGGAAGCAGGGGATTCTGCCCAGGAAGCGGTCCTGCACAGTATTGTGATATTCTGGCACGCTGTGCCACCGTGATTTGTTGATTTATTCCTTGTTTTTTTATCGCCTACAGAGCGGCACTCCACTAAAAGGCAAAGTCGCTTAGATAAGATACAATAAATCCAAAGCACACAGCAGAGTGGGCATGATTTAAAGATGATGCGTCTCAAAGCTAAGAGAGGCAATTTTTGAAACTTGCGTTTGACGGAGACGCTCCTTCTTTATGGGCTTAAAAACGACTTAAGGAATTTCCGAAGCATAGTTAACAACCTAGTTCTGTTTATGTGCCGACACAAAAGTTCAAAGCTGTTGGCGAGCTGTAACTGCAAAACATGGATGTCATTAATTCCAAGACGGCATATTCTAAGCATGGCTGGCATACTGATGCCATGTTAAGATACGTTATAGGCTCATTTTAATTAAATTCAATAATTTTCTTTCTGTAACAGCTGCAAGCGGAAGATTGGCATGCTGTTTTCCGTATCACCACTCTTCAGGAGTCTGGCGCACGTATTAGTTGAGGCATCGTAATATATAATCTCCAAATAGTTGAACAAGACTTTGTAGTTTTGAAACGATGATTAAAACAAAAGGCGGGAATCGATTCGTTCATATGTTGTGCCTCACTTGGCGTTATGGTAAGCGTTGCCATTACTCACACGCTTAGATCTATCTGTCAATAAAAGAACCAAACAAAACCATTTGTCTTTTCGGCAATTGCTGGAAGTGCCAGGCCACTAATCCCATTCGCTTGAGACGTGCTAGTGGCTGCTGACTACGTCACCTTGGAAGATTTGTGAACATGACGTACGGCGACGAAGTGTCGATAGTCGTTTGTTGCAATGCTGGTAGCACGACGCCATGTTGTAGAAATGATTTTCGAATGGTTTGCATGGATGGCTTAGGCCTAGAGCACCTGCCAGCACGAGCATCTTGCGTATGTCCTGAAGTCTCCACACAGGTTGTGCCGTTCTACCTATTCGATAATTTGGTCTCTTGGCTTTTCGCCTGGCATGAGTGTGTAGGGTTTTACGTGCCGCACAATGCTACGGCACGGCCGTCTGACACTAGGCCATTGCATCTAGCTGGCTGCCAGCTGATATTTCTGTCACTGGGACCAAGCAGCGCGGTCGTTGTGGGACTCGCGCGCGATGTATAACCACTACTGTTGGAGTACGAGCCCGGTAGAGGACTTGAAAGGCTGGGTAAATCCATGATTACCCAAGCGAAATGGATGATGGGTCAGGTGGACTACAGATTTGGGAGAACACATTTGGGTAAGTCGTTAGCAAAATGTGCTGAAGCTGCATCAAGAAGTACTAAACATTTTACCTGTTAACAATTCTTCTCGTCATAATTAACTGCATGCCCACTACCAGGCCATAAGACAATTCTGGCTGGACTGTGACGTGAAAAGAAGTAGCGGCTGTAGTTTCAGGCACTGACAATGTAGTGGTTCAGCCGCGCGGCTTAAAAACCGGAGGCAGGGAGTTTGATTCCTTACGCTGTGCGCTCCCCCCCCCCCCCCCCCACCCCGCCTGGGTGGAAGGCAGACGACGACATGTATTATCAGCAGCTAAGTGCGTCGTAAAGCCCCAAAGACAACATCGACGACGATTGTAATTTTTATACGCGGTCGTCCCCGACCAAATGTTGGATAAAATTACCTTTAGGTGTACGTCTGATGAAAGTTCATTTGAACTGATTCGATGCCATGCACGGTATTGCTTCCAAAACTATCTGTGCATATATTTCTACACGGTTTATGTTGTGTTGTAAAGTTGCTGTGATATTGGATGATGTAATTATGTGGACTATCATCCTCGTCTGGTATGTTAGTATGTACACAATGTTTCGGTCAGTTAGAGGGAATATGCCACCAGTTTGTAATTTTCACTGATTCATAGATTACACGCCTAGGATTTGATCGTCAACACCAGTTTTCTCGAAATCCGTTTGGAAAACTAGAAATTTTTATTTGAAGCAGGCGCTCCGCTGGGAAAACCTCATTGGACTCCCTGCACACCATTATGGAAGTAATACATTTCATTTGCCCTTGCCTTTTCCAATGTTTGTGTGGGTTCTGTAATATTTGCAACACACCTTGTGTCAAAAGGTTATGAAATAAATGCTACGGATGCTTGATTTTTTTAAAGATGTGCATATTGTGACGGTATTATCCCTCAAATTCAACAAACGTACTATGGCCTTGATTTCTTCCCTATGGTGTTAATCATAGTGGCTCTTTTCGAAGCGCACTGTGGTTTTCGGAAACGGAACATCACATGGTCCAAAGCGGTGCACTGGTTCAAACTCTACGCAATGCGCTTCTCAGTAACTGGCCCTTGCCGCCCGCTATGACAATCACAAACGTTCATTTGCACTGACGTCATCCATACCAGTAAAGGTGCCACTTTTAAGCTCGCAGGCCCACAATGTGCGGATTAAGACAGCTCGGAGGTGGTGCCTCTAAGCCGTAACGCCTGACGACAAGTCTGAGCAGATTATGCTGTCGTAATGACAGCAGATTATGCTGTCGTAATGACAACGGCGGTTACGACAGTGCACTCGTCGTAAACTCGGGATCCGGTCTGGGGTTTCCAGGAAAGGAAGATGTGTAGTTCTGTCTAACTGTTCCTGAAGTTTCACCAGGGTACCTTTTTTGCGATACCCAAAGGTGGGGCATTCTCATTAACTATCCAGCGGTCGTCAGATGTTATTGGTCCTGACAAAGACTTGGTGATTGACTTTGGCCATGTATGCGTCACAACCCGAATCCTTTTATTGGAGTTGCTGGAATTGGAACCAGTGTCTTCTGGTTGCGTGTCCAGTGCTCTACCAATCGACCTAACCGTGAAGGACATTCGTGGCACTAATGCCTCGCCTCCATGCTTCTGTAAAACTGCTGCGATGCTCTCCAATTTGCCCGCGGTGCACAATTCCTGATGCGTGGTACACGGTGGACAGATCCCAAATCACGGAACAACAGAAAATGCGCGCTGTGCCAGGCCGTGGTGGTCAGGACGCGTAGTTTTGGATCATTGCCAAATCCCGTAAATTCCATCAGTGCAATAAATAAAGCACCATTATGCTTCATGTGATATATATATATATATATATATATATATATATATATATATATATATATATATATATACATGGGTCTACCTCTCGTCTTGCTGTAATCTTCTGGTCACATAAGTTTTCAGTACGATCGATCGTTGGTTACGACAAACGTTTACGTTTGGCATACGACGGTCGTTTACGTCCCTTACATACACACACGCATGAAGACTTATTTAAACGAGAAAACCGTCGTGGTCTGGTAAAGTGGTGGTACAGACGACGGACATAACGTAGGCAGATGTCATGCTCCCAAAACGAACTCAAAACATTGCTAGAAGAATGGAGGCATGACTTACTGTGTCAAGTAACACACTGAATCAACAGTTGAGTAGA